TGGGTGTGTCTGTGTGTGTGTGTGCACGCCTGTACACGGTGGTCCTTTTGCTCACCTTCTGGCGGGGGGACAGGATGCACTCTGCTCTTCGAATCTCATTTTGTGTGCCATTCCTTGTGGCTGGCACACCGGGGCAGAAGCGTGCTCCAACCGATCGTCAGTTTTGCATTGCTGGTGTCTGCCATGCTTGTGCACCAGAATCTGTTTTCATATCATGTCCTGCTCCTCTGTGCCTTCATCCTCGGTCCTGCCTGTCGCCAGTCGCAGTTACCCTTGCCAAGCCAATGTGTGCGCGGCAGCCTGTGGCTGACGGGTGCGTAAGCATCGCATGTTTTACCAATGTCTGGGGGCATCCACTGCCCAACAACGACAGTGGTGGAAGTGCTGCGAAGCGATCTGGGAAACCGGATTGTGTAGCTGCTGAATTGGTCGCCCTAATTCGCTCTCAAAGCTGTTGTTTCACATTGACCAAAGAAGCGACTGCAACCAGAGTGATTAACAGGCTCTTCAGGTCCCGGGCCCATTACCTTACAGCTTCTGAAAACGACGCGCTGCTCGATACAAATACACTGACTATTGGTCGGAGGCTGCGGAGGAATGCATAAGAAGTGTGCGTATGTATATATATATATATATATATGTATATATATATATATATGTATGTATGTGTGTGTATGCGTATATATACATATATATATATATGTACGTACATATATATATATATATATATGTACATACATACATACGTATATATATATATATATATGAGGGGGAAGTTCTGAGAAAGCGGGCTCATTCAATTCAACGCTGTCCACCAGCCTCAGCAGATCGAAATTCGGCGGCACCTTGACCTCGACTGGATGCGGACTCTTGCAAGAATAGAAAGGGACAAAATGCCTCTCCAGTCTATGACATACGTAAACTCTAAATCATGTGCAATCATGCGTGCGACTAGATCTGTCAATATCTACCAGTTTTCGCTGGCCGAGCAGCCAAGCATTGCATCCACGACGGAGAGCCGAGGGACCTGCTGCGGTGAAGACTTGAGCGACTATTCTGTGTCATCCACCTAGAACTGCTCCGACTGCTCATTAGACGGTATACAGTATAAATGTTGTCCAGAGTTGCCTCTCGCCATGCTTCACCTGCAGTTAGCGAGAGAGCAAACTACACGTGCATCTCTACAGGAGAGGCCCGCAAAGAACACAAGCCCAGTTCGTTGCAAGCAGCCAGGCAAAGGCTGCAGGCCTCTCAGACTAAGGCAAGTTGCCAGCCGCCTCACCATCCCGCAGTTGGTTGAAGGCACTTCGAACGCAGCGCACCTCCAGACAATTCAAATTCGACGGCAGGCCAGCTTCCTTGACTAGGTGGTTCTCCCACAACTCGGCCATCTGCCTCCGACAAGGCTTTCCTGTGTGCCTGCCAGGCAGAAGCAAAGCGAGGTGACTCGATAGGTTGCTCAAGGCAGCGCAAACACAAACCGTAGGTGCTGTGAAAAAAGAACACCCTGTAAGCGTAAGACTGCCAGCGTGTAAAATGCTTGAAAATGCTTTCCTGCTCGAAACAGCTTGAAATCAGTACGAGTAGTGGTAACACCCTCGTCCATGCTGGTAGACAGTGCAAAGGCAAAAGCTTAAAGCAACCTCAACACCACAAGGCGCGGCAGACAACCAAGTCCAGCCTCGCGAACATCGCGTCCAGGTATGCCCGGAGGCAGGGCCTTCAGCAGAGCGCTACAGTAAGTTTCTCTTTGAGCCCAGAAAACCTCTGAGACAGCATGCGCAAACTGAATTGGCTAATTGTGGGAAGGCTCTGGGGGTCTCGGATTGGAATCAAGATGCCTCCAGGAACACGCCAAGGCCCAGGGACTTGCCATCCTGGAGGAGTCTCAGCATGTCAGAATGTCTTGTCGAATCAGACTCAAAGCTGCTGCCAACCTCTCCTGCCGCAGCCACTGTTGTCCAAAGTTACCCTCGTCCCGCAAACGCAGCCAGTAGCAGCTCTCCTCCTGTCGCATGTTCTTAATGTCCCACGCGGTATTTGGCTTGCACGTCTCATCGGCAGGTCTGCAAACAGCTTGCAAAAGCCTACTTTGAGATTCTGCCATGTCATACGCATGGCAAAGGTTGCAACTTCCAACAAGTTCGAACCCTTCATGGAACCTCATCCCAGCTCGACTCCTTGGCCGCGAATTCGAAAAAACTTAAAGCAAGTCTGGAGGAGATGGTTCAATTCACAATACTCAGGTATCAGTAACATTTTAATTAAAGTCGGCGAATCCGATGGAAAAACTAGTCTGTACAATCTCTTGTTCTCTTTCCCGGCTGTACGAACTCACCACTTCACGTACGGCACAACCGACTTCTTGGTGTAGTCTTCATTCCATACTCTCTTACACAATGTCAGGCTAAGCACAGCTTTGAGTTGAATATGCTTATGTGCACCTGCGTGTCCTTGTCAGGTGCGTTCCAAGACGACACACCAGGAAACGGCAAGCTTGTCCCACAACTGTGCTGCTGTTGCTGCGTTAAACCGGCAGCTGACGAGGCTGGCTTCCGAAACTAAGCGTAGATGCTTTTGCCTCCTACAAACACTTCGCAAGAACGAGCCCCTGTTGCGAGATTCGTAGGTCTGGAAAGTCTGATTCTTGACACTCACACTCGGACAAAGCCTGACAAGGTCTTACTGTTGGAGAGTGTGTGTTGATATTTCCGTGCCGCGCATCTTGTAAAAGTAAAGATTCAAAAATTGACATCTATGCTGGTAGATGCATGCAGGGGCAGGAAGCGAGAACAAACGCGTTGCCATGATGGTTTGCCGAGACTTGCACATGAAGTTCATATGCCGCATATGTTATGCCCATACTGGGCTCATACACCAAAAATTTTAGGGGCACATGCTTGGAATAATGGTCAAGTTACGTACAGGAATCAGTAACACCAAGACGGTGCCAGGCTTGCAGTCCCGGCCGCAGTCGTCATTGCCAACACCTCTGACAAATGCGAGCACACACCCTGTCTCGCGGCAGGTTGCGCAGGCTAGTCTTCCCTATGGGCATGATCGGCTGGCGCTGTCAACAGCATGCGATGTCACGTGCAGGGAAAGAGAATATACTGGGATCGTGTCGTTTCATATCAAAGCTGCTGAGCAACCCCGAGCAGCATTCGATGCCCGCCTCTCCCACGACGTGGATCTGGCCTCGGCTTGCATCTGCAATCATAGAGGGCTGTGTGCTGAGGGCACATCACACCCGTCGATATCATCGGTTGGATCCGATACTGCTGATCCGCGTCGTGCCTGCGCAAGATAGCCACCAGATGATTTCCAAGTTACACGTATGTAGTGCTTATCAAATTGTAAAGAGCTTTCGCATGCGCACGTGTGCTACAACACACGCTTCATTTCAGTGGCATGGGGTGCAGCGCAGCAGAAAATTTACTTTGCTCTTGGTTGTTTTAGGGTCTGCCTGCAACATCTGCAACCCGGCAGCTGATCGTGAAGCAGTCACGGCCCGATTCAGCACAAAGCTTCACCATGTTCCTCCAGCTGCTGGAGGAACTGTGAATGACTATGTACAGGGGATGTCCGCAACAGTCGCTGACTGCAAGCTAACCCGCTCTGTGAGCTTGCTCTCTGCCGAGTAGCCGGTGGTTGTAGCCGGAGTTGTGCGGGAGAAGTGGCTCAATCGGTCGAATCATTGCATAGACAGCGGGGTGGTGCACCACCTTAAGGCTGAGGAGATGTACAAGCAACAGAGCTTATGGTTGAACCCTCACTGCACAAGGATTTTTCGCATACCTTCCATCAGACCCTAACTTGCTTGCTTGCTGTGACATCGCGCGAGTGAAGCATTGAGGCTTTCCGGCAGGCCCCAACAGATCTTTTGACGCCATGCATCGCTGTGGCAACAGTAGGAAACCCGTCTAGCAATGGTGCAGAGGACCATGCTCCGTGCACAAGACTCCTCTAGGGCCAGCGCTCGCCACCAGCCACCCGGGGCGAGCTGCTCCCAGTTCGGGGTCTCCCACGTCCCCATCGAAGGCGGCGATGAGAAATGGCTTTAGCGGCGGCGTCAGGAGATGCTCCGAGCATCCTTCATCCTTTTAGGAGCACGTGCCTACATCCGCCGCGGCTCGAGCCGGTGCTTCGGACAGCTCTTTGTTGCTTCGGAGATGTCAGGTGACAGGTCTGACGAGGCAATCATGCTGCCATTCGGCTCTTTTCCACTGGCATTCAGCTTGACTTAAAATAAGGCAAGCATCGCTTTGCATTCTGGCTTCCACGCGTGGGCGACTTTTGGACTGACCAGCCGAAGGTCGGAACTTCTTGGGTTCTCGAAGCTGTTGGTGCAGATCTGCAGCTTAGCCTGTGGATGCTTGCCGGCCCATGACTGGCTTCGTCAATTTGTCGTCGGAGTCACGGGGAGGCAGTGCTAGACATTTGCGTGCTGAAGGCGAAGATGCTCTCTGTGTGCTTCTTTGCCCCTGTGCCAGGTGCAGCATACCCAACTTGCAGCACTTGGAACACCTTTGCCGCCTACAACGTACATCTGCACATGACCGGCTACAACTTGTGGGCCAACTCTGAACCAAACAATTGACGAAGTATGGACCCTGGTCCAAAGTACAATTGCCCAAGAGGTTGCCCGACCACCCAGGAGTTACACCGGCTACTGCGGTGAAAACCACTTTAGGACTCGGAGGCAAATCTACGAAGGGAGTAGAGTGCTCATGGCATCACTCCCTACATGTCGCAAGTAGAAGAGTGCTCAAAATGCATGTTGACGCGAATCTTGCGGTATGACATGCTATCACATCCCTCTGCGCAGGGCACTCCGTTGTTCCCTCACATTGGGTTGCCGGTGGCTGTAGCCTGTGCTCACCGGGAAGGGAGCACAAAGGCGATGGCCCGGCAACTCGCGACCTTGGTGCAACACACTGCGAATGACGGTCGGAACTGAAGGTGGGCGCTGTATTCTGCCATATTCTACCCTTGCCTCACTAATGGTCGCCGACGTCGTGAATGAGTTTGACCCCCTGCGAAAACGACAGCGTGATGAACTCGATCAAGACAACAAGGGGCCAGCTCGCAAGATGCATCTTGTCGAGACTCAAACTCATCAAGGCCTTGTCCTTGAAGATCACCTCAGCAACATTTCAGCAACAACATTTAGCTGACCACGTGCTTGGGCATGACTGTGCCGGCTGACAGTCCAAGCATTTGTGAAGAGTTGAGCAACACACCAGACTGGCGTTCACAAGAAGATTATTGTTTCCGGCAGCGGTCCCTGGCACTCTTGCTTGCATAGAGAACCATGTTTAGAACTGTTTCAACTTCCTCGCTGCTCCTATCGCAGTGGAGAATGACCATGGCCCACAATTAGCCTGCTACACATATTGCCATTGTTGCGGCAGCAGGTGGAGGAGGATGGGGAGTAACAGCAGCAGTATAAGCCTAAGCAGAAGCAGAAGTGGAAGTAGACGTAGAAGTAGTGGAAGTAGTCTGCTACTACTACTGCCACCACCTCCACGACTACTGCCACTACCACTACCACTACCACTATTAGTACCACTACCACTACCGCTACTACTACTACTACTACTACTACTACTACTACTACCACCACTACTGCTACTACTACTAGTAGTGGTACTATACTCCTACTCCTACTACTGCTACCACGACGACGACCTTCTAAATGCCACTGCTTCTAATCTTCCCGCTAGCGCTGCTGCCGCAACAACAACAACTACTACTCCTACTTCTACTGCTACAACAACTGCTGCTGCCACCGCTGCTGCAGGAGTGGACAGGTTCGAGTGATACCAGAACAGCCAAGTGGCACCACAAAGGATCGAGTTGCGGTTCGTCAGATCCTAGGTGACCATCAGCTGCTTCGAGCTGGGTTGGCAGTGCGAGTCCACCGCACGTTTTAAGGCACACACTGTGTCAAACACTTCCGAAAGGCTTTCGTTCGCTTGCCACATCCTGCGACGTAGTCGTGCTTGCCATTGTACCAACACCACATGGCAGCTGTGGCTTCATGAGCCTGGGTGAAGCTTGGAGCGGCTGCCTGGGACCTTGAAGAAGCCTGGAAAACAGATGTCCTGAAGGACTTCTTTCTCCAGCCCTTGCCCACGAAGAGCTTCACCTCTTCTGGACGGGCGGCTATGCATTGGCTGGCAGTGCACCAGGTGTCACAGGCTGCCCGAGGCCACATCTGCAAATGCCATGCGCCATGCGATGCCTCGTAGGAGCCAGAAGCATCTTCAGGCCTCATCAGCATGCAGAGTACTGTGGCCACATGGAACCGAGGAGAAACGGACGGGAAGGCCCATCCATTGATGTGCGCCTGAAAAACTCGGAGATTGACCCTGACAGCTCGAGGTGACACCTCTGCCCATCGGCGCGGAGGCGGAGAGTTACCTTAGCGACGGCATCAGCCCGGCCGTACAAAGCCCAGCCACGGCACAAGCTTCACTTGAGGCTCGTGCTGTGCTGCAGCCAGGTGCAGCTACAGCAAACGGGTCGCTCTCGAATTCGTCCTGTAGCGGATGGGCTAAGCCCACCAGCCACGAGACCTGGACAAGGCAAACTCACAAGAGAAACATCTCTAGTTTGAGGTGCCCTGCTCGGCGGTTCGAAGCAGTGAGAGTCGTCTTCGGCTCCTCACACGAATTGAAGGTTCCCCGGGTTCAAGTTCTCCGGGTTCACTAGGCACCATTTCTCTCGAGAGTATCGACGTAGCACCTAGGGGATGGGCTCAGAGCAGAAGCTCAAGGTCGAAGCCCGCATGAATGGTGTTCTGAAGCAAATGGTCCATGCGAAGCCTGCATCACTTGCTGTGCTGTGGTGGTGGTCAGTCCCGGCTTAACACCCGAGGGTTGCAAGCATTCTGGCTGGATACGGAAGCAGGAGAATTTGACTGTCGCGTGCTCGAATCGAGGGGACCATGGCAATTCATCAGCATAGGGGGAGGCACAAGTGACGAGCATCGAGCAACACGAAACTGCGAACAATCTGTCAAACGGAGACGATTGGCCCGACGGTGGATGGCTTTGACCGACTAGAACTGATCTGCGGAAATCACACTGCAGGCGAGGTTGCCGTCCAGCTGTCGTGACGACTGCTGTAGAACACGACTAGCATCAACGTAACACATCTCTACATATATATATATATATATATATACAGTTCTATTATATACACACACACACACAGACACAGACACTGACAGAGACAGAGACGGAGACAGAGACACAGACACACACAGACACAGACAGACACACACAGACACAGACACAGACGCAGACGCAGACGCACACATACACACACACACACAGAGACACACACAGACACAGACACGCACACACAGACACAGACACACATACACACACACACACACAGACACACACACACACACAGTCACAGACACAAACGCAGACACACACACACACACACACACAGACACAGACACACAGACACACAGACACACACACACACACAGACACACACACACACACACACACACACACACACAGACACAGACGCAGACACAAACGCAGACACACACACACACACACACACAACACACACACACACACACACACCAACACCATGAGCCGACACATCGTTGGAGCCTTGGTCGCGGCAGCCGGGTTGGTGGGACTTCCGTCAGAGACCTCCGCTTCCTCTGCCTCCTCGTCCTCGTCATCGCCAGCCTTGACGCACACCGAGGCCCGAAGAGATGCAACACATGGCATAACAATCTCATTTCTAAGAGCTGCCCTGCTTCCAACCTCCTCCTCCTGTTCTTGATCCTCAGTCTCCTGTTCCTGGACAGGAGAAGCAGGCCTGGGCTCGCCGACGGCAGGCCACGTACGAAAAGCGACTTGAGCAAATCAAGCTGTCAGTACGGAGTTTTTCCAGACTTTACACTCCAAGCCAGTGGCAGCTGCAGCTCAGGCAGCTCGGGCAGCTGCATGGTACTCCGGATACTTGAGACCTCAAGCCAAAGAAGCTCCACGACATTCCAGCTTCGCAAGGGCAAGCCGGTAAGCCGAGTGCGCAATCTGCTGTTGTCTTTTCTGGCGTGCTCTCGAAGACCTGATGCCGCACGAGTCGAGCTTCGTGGGATGCGAGAGCCATTGCCTATCGAAGCGCGCCTGGCCCGCAGAGCCACCAGCATTGGGCACCGCCATTCCGGCATCGGCACAATGCTCACTCGGTCGGCTCTCCTTGGTGGCATGATGCCAACGAAGAAGCGGCCCACGGGTTTCGGTTTCCGTTATGAAGGCGCTCTTTCTCGTGTCCGCAGGCTACAGAGATCGGACATGGAGCGAATGTTGAGGAGCATAACAAGACAAAACTCGGGGCACGGCTGGTCCGCTCTGCTCGTGTCTATATCCAGGTTTGGCCAGCTGAGGGGCAAACGAACGTTTGCGCTCCGCCATCCACACTTGCCCGCTGTTGATCCTGGACAGCGCAGCTTCTGTTTAGACTACAGCATGCCATAGCATACCAAAGTCTCTGCTGATTCGATGGACGCAACTGCGACACACGGCCATCATGCAAATAACTAAACATGTTTGAGGCTGCCGCAATTCGCTTCTTGAAATCCACCGTGCCGCAGCTAGGCCTGATGCCTTGTTTGGCAGATCGCCGGGTGCCGGAACAAAAATATGAAATGCCAACTCAGGCAGCAGCAAAAAATTCACAGAGATTGAATGCTTCAGGCCTGCTGGGCTGGCGCCAGACGGCGTTGATGCGGAACTTGTCACATCTGCAGTCCTGGCCGCGAACGGCTGCTGAAACCCAGAGCCAACAGGTGTTCGATCTTCGTTAACAGTTTGAAGGGAACTTCAGCGCATGAATCCAACTACGATTGCCCCTCCCACGGCGCAACTCTCTGAAGACCAGATGCCGGAGAATCCGCGCACTACGGACAACTGGCTCCCCAGAGATCCCCAGAGCATGTTCTGTCCGGGCAGTGTGCAGATAACCAGTAATTACATGGGCAACACCACGGCAGTTCCTGCTGAAATGCCCTCGCGATTCAAGGTGTGATTTCTTCAGCTCCCCTCGAACTCGTCGTCTTGCTGTCGGTGTTGGCTGCATGAGTGCACCATGCACACTCTTCTGATTACCTATTACTATATTACTCCCTCGTGTCAGCATTTAAGCCACATCCTCTTACCACAAGACTTGGGCTGAGCCTGTGCAATTCCCGCTCATAATCCTCTCACTAGCGGCTAATGCAGACAGGAACAGAAAGGGCTTCTAGGCGGGCTTTCGGGAAGCACAAGAACGTCGGTCTTTGTGGTGGGCGTGCTCTCGAAGGTCTGGCCGTCACCGTCGACTGTGGCCCTCCGCCGCTCAATCGCAGCCTGGAAGTCACCACCTCGGCACAGCCACCTCTGATCAATCTTGGCCCGATATATGACTTATATCCACCATAAACCTTGTGATTTGGTGGAATGCTGTTTCGATCGACATGTCTGTTTCGAAGATGGCCACTGTGAAATGCGCAAATCTTAAGGCCTGAGCCGCAGGGGCTTGGTGTGCGCTTAAACACCGCCGCACCTCAAATCACTTGATGTGCGCGGTTTTGCAGCAGATTTGTGCAGACATATTGCGTGGAGCCAGCTGAAGGGGTAACAAAGCCCGGAACATGTTTTGAGCGGCGTTGCCGCAGTGCTTACTGTAGTTGCCTCGGGCTCGCAAGTCAGCAAGAAGGAATATTCGCAAGCATCTGCTTTGTGACCAGAGGTGTCGGACCTGCGTCAAAGCATCCTCTTCCTTGCGAAGCGTTGGCACGCTTTCGTAGTTCGCACCACACTCCTGGCGACAGCAAGGAGTAAGAGGTCAGCTTGAAAAGCAACCCATCCGCAAACCAAAGCACACTTGCTGCGCTATCGTTTAGGACGTTGGGAGGAAAGGTGGGATTGACCATGATGATGGTGATGGTGATGTATGGTGATGTTGCTGAGGATCAACATTGCCGCTGGTGAGTTGTTGCTGCTACGAGTATCAACTGCCATCACTGAAAGCCAGGCCGTTGTTGTTAAATTGCGCTTGCATTGTCGTCATCTTCGTGGTGTTGGCGTTGCCCAACTTTAACGACCAACAATAGCAGTGGCAACAACAACATCAACAACAACAACAACAACAACACCAAAACCAACACCACCGGCACCGACTACACCAACACCATCAACGCCGCCACCACCACCACCAACAACAACAACCACAGTAACAGCAACAGCAGCATCAAGAGCGACAACGGTAGCAGCAGCACCACCACCAGCAGCAACAACAACAACCACCAGCAGCACCACCCGTAGAAGCAACAACAACAGCAGCCACAGCCACAGTCACAGCGGTTTCAGTGGCATTTCCAGTATCAACCATCTGCGCAGTGTCCTCCACCACACTCCGGCGCTTGAGCAACTTGGCTTGCAACTCGTTCATTGAACCTCGTCGAGTTGGTCGGCTGCCAGCCCTTCTGAGCTTCTACTGAAGGCAAGAATATTGAGGTTCAGACTTCGGCCCTAACTACTTGCCTCCAGTCTCCATGCAGGGACCTGAACTATGGACTACCGTGCAGCCGCGTGTGCTGAAAATCCAGGAAATCCTATTGCGGTTGGATGTCCGACAGAAATGTTTCACTAGATGCTGCAGATTCTGCGCTGCTGACGGTACCACTTTGAAGTTGTTGACAGGTTAGCAACTAGTGCAACTTTGTCACCGGAAAGCATGCAGCAGAACTCTTGAAACACGTTGCGTCTCTACGAGCTGGAACGGCTGCAGGAAGCACACGTCCAAGACGCTGCATTACAGCATGCTGCGTTCTGCAGGGCCAACAAGCATCTTTTGCAGGCATTTGGTTTTCAGACTCTCTCGATGCCACAAACGATACACATGCATGCTAGCTGCAAAGGCCGAAGTCATTGCTGACTTTATGCACGCCTCGGCAAAAGGAGTTTGTGCAGAAAAGCTCTGGAAATTGTTGGTGCAGCCGGAGACCGCAGTAACTAAGCTAGCAGCAATAAACCCACCAGTGGGAGTATGGCACCTTCCAACCCATCTTGGGCCGGTCGAAGTTGGGACATCCCAGGTCGACTCCTTCCTCAACATACCTCGGCCGCAAGCGGCTGAGATGCTGCTGCAATTTCAAGCATCTCGGCCGAGGCGCCCCTTGATGCTTTGATCCAAGGACAGCAGTGCATGTTGCAGCCTCGCACACAAGTTGTTACAAGGATTGTCACTCGACCGCTTCGCCGGCTCCAGCCTCGAGCTGTCCGCGGATTCGCTTGGGAACGCAAACCGGGCGAACAAGAAGGCAACAGCCGAACGAACGCGAGCAACCCGGCAGTAGAAACCTCGGTTGGGCACGGGAAACTGAGTCGCGAGCTTCATCAGTGAGCAGTGTGTTCTAGCTCCCATGTGTCGGAATGGAACTCAAGATGATTCAACCAATCGTGCACAAATGTCACAGCTGCAGCTGCCGGTCCTTTAACGGCAAGCCTGTCTGTCTAAACAAGACATGCCTCTGCTGCTACCAAGGTTCTTTGCAGCGCTTTGCTATCTGCTTCGCTCTCAGCATCAGCAGCGCAATCAAACTCCTGAGGTGAACTCATACTCATGCCGGAGATGCATCGACAGGGCGCTGACTCAGTCGCTACCTGACTTGCAGCCCTTGCCTCTTCCAGTGCCACCAGTCCTGCTGCGATGTTGGTGGCCATTGTCATGGCATTTATGCCTCTGGGTCTATGCAGCTGCGCTGACCGTGGCAATGTCATCTGACATCCGATAGAGTGAGAGCCCACTGCACGTTGTTGTTGGATGTAAAGATACAAGAACAAACTCCGCCGAGCGGCGCAGCAGCACTAAAATGGCTGCTTCTGCCGCAGCTTCCAGTCGTGCTTGAGACGTCCAACGAGCCTCCGCGCAGAAGGCAGCATCCTTAGAGAAGAACTTCTCTCTCGTTTACCAAGGAAAAATTCTGCCGGGCAGTGGAAGAGTTTGCACCTCGACAATTTGCACGCGCACTTTTTGGATGCCCGCCCGGTTTGCAACTGAATCATCCGACCCATCAAGTCCCAAGCATCGAGGAAAGCGACAGGCCCTTCGAGCGAGGCCACCGCTAGCATCGACCGGGGTAGCTCACTTCTCCGCCGCCTTCTTCTTCCTGGCCGGTGCCACACCTCCCTCGCGGAAGCCGTTCTTGAATCGCCGGGCCACGTGCTTGACGTACCTGCCACGGCCGCATATATGCGAGCACCCTTTCTGGAGTGGCAAAAAAGGCCCCTAATCGGTCTATCCGAGTCGATCGCTCTGGGCTGAGCTTCCCGCCTCATGCGGCCTGTTCCAGGGGCTCGTCTACGCTTCGACTTCTTGGACCACTCGTACGACCGAATTTTGGCGGCTGGGTAGCCGCATGCCGCACACTTCTTCCTGCAGCCAGCAGGCACAGGTGGGACGAAGCCCTCGCAATCCATGCAAGAGAGTGCGACACCCCAACTGCGCCAGCTACCTCTGAAGGTGGTACGAGCGCTTTCCGCATCGAGGGCACAAACCGTGGGTCTTCTTGTGGCGCTTGCCCATTGCAGGGGTGCCGTCACCCATGGCGGCGAAGGGAAGGGTGAACCCCACGGCTCGGTTTCAGCTGACTTTCACCTACGAGGCCGTCCGTAGCTTGGACCAAGGAGTCAGTTCACGAATTGTTCAACATGGAGAGACGTTCCTGCCCGACATGCATCAAACGACAAAACGAGCTGCACACTACCGCAGGAATCCAACTAGCTCTGACATCCCTTGCTGCAATGCCTCTCTCTTCGCTGTATTCTTCAGGCCCAGAACATCAACAGCATAGGCACTTTTTGGATGCCCGCTCGGTTTGCAACTGAATCATCCGACCCATCAAGTCCCAAGCATCGAGGAAAGCGACAGGCCCTTCGAGCGAGGCCACCGCTAGCATCGACCGGGGTAGCTCACTTCTCCGCCGCCTTCTTCTTCCTGGCCGGTGCCACACCTCCCTCGCGGAAGCCGTTCTTGAATCGCCGGGCCACGTGCTTGACGTACCTGCCACGGCCGCATATATGCGAGCACCCTTTCTGGAGTGGCAAAAAAGGCCCCTAATCGGTCTATCCGAGTCGATCGCTCTGGGCTGAGCTTCCCGCCTCATGCGGCCTGTTCCAGGGGCTCGTCTACGCTTCGACTTCTTGGACCACTCGTACGACCGAATTTTGGCGGCTGGGTAGCCGCATGCCGCACACTTCTTCCTGCAGCCAGCAGGCACAGGTGGGACGAAGCCCTCGCAATCCATGCAAGAGAGTGCGACACCCCAACTGCGCCAGCTACCTCTGAAGGTGGTACGAGCGCTTTCCGCATCGAGGGCACAAACCGTGGGTCTTCTTGTGGCGCTTGCCCATTGCAGGGGTGCCGTCACCCATGGCGGCGAAGGGAAGGGTGAACCCCACGGCTCGGTTTCAGCTGACTTTCACCTACGAGGCCGTCCGTAGCTTGGACCACAATGAGGCCGAGCATCCTGCATGACTTACAGTATGGTTTCCGAGGCCAACATCGTCACGTTTCGTACTGTGGTCATATGTTTCGCCAGGAGACTCTACTGTAAACATGCTCTGAGGATCTTGCCAGAAATCTCAGGGTGTCATCGATCTCAGTTTCCTGAGACTTTGGGGCATGTGCGGAGCTGAGTGCTCGAGGCATCTGCCGCCACTCAGCTACATATCCAAACTGTGCAACACGTTCGCGCTTTTTCAGTGGGCCAATTGAACTGTACAGTGCCAGTACGGCCGATTGCATGGCCTGGCGGCAAGGCATCACCTTTTCTGTGGCAGGAGCTTTCCAGCGGCTGCCAGGCACAGAACATTCGCTTCAGGCAGCTCCTGGATGCTTGAGCGAAGTGTTTGCACTTTCTCCCCGGTCTTCGGGTTCACGCCCTCCTCAGAGCCGAGGAGCCGATGCTCTTCAAGCTTTGCTGCTTTATCTGCTTTGCTTCGCTTTGCTTCGGATGGTTCAAGACTTGGCGCCTTCGGGCTGTGGATTTTCCATTTGCCTTTTGCTTAGCAGCTTCTTGCAGTGAACGTGGGAAGATCGAACCACTGGTGCCCGCCTCTCCGGTACGAGTACGACCTACTCGGTAATGCGAGGCAGGTTGGAACACAATGAAACGAAGCATATTTTATACGACTACTGACTACTTGTTTGAATTGTTTGCATAATTACGCTTGCATGATGTGCATCTTTGCATACATATGTATAGTTTTACATATGTATCATGCACATATGCATGTACGTGCGCCTCGAAGTCGGACCCAATGGGACCGTACATGCTGGTGTGCACGACATGCGATGCTGGGAGCCGGGCATGTGGCCGAAGAGAGCGGACAAAGTAGGAGCCATATGCTTGGTGCGGTTGGAGGGGCAGAAGGCCGTTCTGAGCCAGCCACTGCAGCTTTTCACCAGTCGCTTTGCCTTAGCCGTAGCTGAGAGGCCGAGCCAGGAAGCACAAGGCCTAAGGCTGTTCGCAGCGGAGCTAAGGCCAAGCCACCTTCGATCTTCCGGGCTCCGGGGATCTTGGACTTGTGCACAGCATCAGTCACACCGTTCACACCGCAATCAGCAGCTCGCCAAAGAATCAGAGACAGCGCCTGCACGCACGAGGAATCACGTATGACCGTGGCATGCTGTCCCTTGCGATTTTCGCCCTTGCAACTCTCTGCTCATGCGTGCACCTCTTCCATCGTCGCGAAGCTGCCCATGCGGCAATCGAAGGTTGCCAAGCCAGAAGCTTCCATGCAAAGCCCCTTTTGCGCAAACAGCTCCTGGATGCGATAGTTGAACAGTGATGTCACATGGGATGCAGCCAGTGTACCTTGGCTTCATCTTGGGTCAGGCGGCGAACGAATATATATATATACGAATATATATATATATATATATATATAATATATATATATATATATATATATATATATTATATTATATTATATTATATTATATTATATTATATTGTATTGTATTGTATTATATTGTATTATATCATATTATATTATATTATATTATATTATATTATATTATATTATATTATATTATACTATACTATATTATATATATATATATGTTTCCAATTGTAGCCCAGCTGCATATCTTCAGCACGCGGCCACTGTGTGAATGGCACTGCTGCTCTCCTCGCACAATGCTCGCTGCGGGTATGATGACCGTCATCTCATCGGACTGGGTGTATCCACCTGCAACCGCCAACCCTAGATCTGGTTCCGAGCAGCAAAATTTTGTAAATTTCTAACTATACGGACACAGTTCCACAAAGAACGATTTTGCAGGGCCACAAGCAGCATTGAATTTGGCCATCAGTGACTGGCAACATTCCCGCATTATTTCGGCGAACTCGGTTGAATAGCCAGCGGAAAAGACACCCAAAGCAGTCATTCGTTTTGTCAGCTTGGAGAAGCCACTACCATCCAATCGCAGTGTGACAAAACGCTCCCCCGGAACTTCCTGTACATCCAGGGTTTCGCAGTCGCGAAGTGCATCGCCCAGGCATGTCCACGTTGACTTGGGAACAAAGGGGGGCAACTTGTACATCTCTGGCTGCAGTCCCTCAATGCGTCGAGGCTTGCGGGTTTCAAGAAGCTCCTGAATCTGCCGCGCGAGCTTGCTGATTCCTTGGCTGATGTGCTTGTCGCGCTTTCGGGCGAGCCCCTTGCGAACCTTGAGCCAATATGCAAAGGCCGCAGCCGCTGCTGCTGCTGCCACGACTGCAACTGCAGGTGCCCGGGATGAGGCCACCATGGCGCCACTTCAGTCAGTATACATTCGCAAAGCAGGCTGGAACCTCGAGATTTGAGCCTTCGTGTGCCCCTGTGCTCCTGCAAGATGCACGCTTGCTTTCAGTGTCGAGAGCAACAGGCAGCCGATGTTGCGAACGAGCTGCAGGCTGCTGGAGAAGCAAAAGCAGCCGCCGCAGCATCGTCCCTTGAGACCACGTCTCGAAGAGTCTTTACAGCAATCCATGGGCAAGACTACCACGGAAGAAGGCCCCGAGCCTGCTGCACCATGACTTGCGAGGGCCGCAAGAGCCGGCAGTTCTCCCGAGGCTCGGCATGCGGCTGCCTGCAGAGGACTTCGAAGTTCTCTTAAAGCTCCGGACCTGGACGCCTATTCACAACCTGGTTGCAGCAGCGTCGGATCCCAGCACTTCAGACAGGAAGAGGAGCACGCCGGACAGCTCCCTGTGCTCGCCCTCCTCGGAGAACATCGAAGGCAAGTCGAGAGAGTCGGGCTTTGTGTGCGTGTCCGTGTGTTTGTAAGCGTAGGGTACCGTTCCTTTATCTTTTCTCCTCTACGCAGAACTGTGGCGTAATTGGACGCCGCTGCATGTGTGCAACATGGCTGGAGTCACGGGAGCTATTGCACCTGAGCGTGTCTACCTGCACATCTTCGCCAAGCACTCCCCGAGGTCCCAAAGCTGTAAGGAGATCATCAGTACCTGGCAATGCGAACACCGGGCAAACAGACGTCAGAAGCAAGCCCGGCACCACTCGGCAGCGAAAGCGCAATGTTTTGAAAGCGTGCAAACACTTCCTAGACGCGGTCTCAGGCAGCTGTCGGCCTGTTGGGAAAATCACATCGGGTGAGGCAGGGCCGATGTCTTCGGTTGCACAGACCATCATCAGATGTGGCAGCTTTAATCAGCACAGGGGGTCTTGAACTGCAGGGGCATGCAAAGGCCTCAAAGGCTCGCGCAAGCTGCCACATCTGGGATAATTATGTACAACTCATTACAATTTGTAGAATGCCTAAATGTGCAAGCAGTTCTGCTGAGGAGGCACAGTTTAGGACACCAAAAAGCCAACGGCGGCAGTGCGAAGCCAGCATTAACTCTGCCGGATATGTTCCCGGCATGAACTCAGTAAACCTCCACGTGGTAGCCTCGGGACAGCGGCATACCACAGGATGACTCACTGCTCTGAATAGTAAAACTGAGTGGCCGAGAACAACATCTGGCTTCCGCGAGAACAACACAGACCCAGATAAACCGCTCAAGACGGCGCAACTTCTTTGAGAACAGCATGCACTTTTGACAGTGATAGCTGAGCAGCGCTTGTCCTTCTTCATCTTCTTCAAGAACTCGGTGTAGACCATGCCCTCTGCCTCCACCTTCTCCTGCGGCCACATGATGCCACATGCATACGGGAGCCGTGCCGTGACAATGGCAAAGCTTCACAAGGCACTAAACTCAGCAGACACTCTTCGAAGCGACTTTGCAAGAAGCTCCTGGAAACACTCCGCGAAGCCACTCTCCATGCCCTTGAGGCCGCACATGTAGACGTGCGTTTTGGGATCCTGTGACAGTGACGACTTGTGACGACTTGTGGACAAGTTCTGGAATGTGTTTCGTCTTTCGTACTACCTCAGCTGCGGTGTCCTTGACCAACTGCCACAGATCCTCGCCGTACTCCATCATCTTGTGCTGCACCCACATCTCTCCGTTGATTTTGTTCTTCTCAGACTTCTCTTCGCTGGAAACTGCGTAGTCGTAGCGGAACTGGCCTGGGAACTCGGCCTGCATCTCCTTCCACTCTTCGTCATAGAGCAAGGACTCGCTGAAGGGAACTCCCAAGAACAGCCACGCACAGCCCTTGAACTTGCCCTTCGAGACCTTGTCGTGGAAGAGGTTGCGCAGGTGGGATCGGAATGGTGCGATACCGGTTCCGGTGGCCATGAAGATCATGTTCGCCTCGGGGTCTTCCGGCAACAGCATCTCGGCTCCTGTTGGACCCGTGATAAGAACGTCATCTCCCGCTTCCAAATCGCAGATGTGGCTGGAGCAAACTCCGCGATAGACCTTCTCTGCGTCCGGGAACTCAGGATCCTTTCCCTTTTCGACGTTCGAGTACTCGCACCAGCCACGTCCGGCCACCTCCACAACGCGCTTCACCACCAGGGACACCGTCTTGCTGCTCTCGTCGTCGCCGGGCGCGGAGGAGGCGATGGAGTACAAGCGGATCTTTGCTGGGGTCTCGCCCTTCTTGTCCGGGCCCGGTGCAATGACGCCGATGGACTGGCCCTCGATGTAGGGCACCTTGCCGCCGTGGTCCATGATCACATGGCACGTCTCCCAGTTCACCAAAGGGGTCTTGCTGGTGATGGTCTCCTTGGACACGCAGCTGCCCTCGTACGGTGCCTTGGGGCTGAAGAGGTTCCAGGGGATCTCCTCACGAAGCTCGACACCGAGACTCAAGCCCCAAACTTGCAGGCGGATGCAGTCGCATGAAGCATACGATGGAACGATGGACACTGTACACTGAACTATGCGGCAGCACTCAAGTCGGTGACTGGTGACACCCTCCCGGGTCCTTGCCCTCGACCACGCGGACACCCTTCTTCTTCACCTGGGCTCAAGGCGACAGCATGCCCTCACGTTGCTGACTCTTGCCCTTCTCCTGCCGGGATGCAGCAGTAGCGCGGCGGCGCAGCAAAGCTCCTCGTCCAAGGACCGCAGTGGCAACGGCCCCGGCGCCAACCGCCAACGTCCTTTGGAGAATCATGCAGCATGCGCATCCCTGTTCGCCTCCTACTTCGCAACGACGAGCCCCGCGTGGCAGGGCTGACCGGAATTCCCGTCCTGCTCGCGCCACCAAAGGATTCCGATCCCGGAACGGTGGTTGCACCCCTGAGCGAAGACGTGCTTGGAGCACTCTGCGCCTAGCACATCTGGCACGCTGGATTGAAATCCGCACACGAAGCGGCCACCAGAAAATCTCATCAGGGCCTGCAAGGGCTTGGAGGCCACAAAGGCCTCGCTGCCTAGGCCGACCACAGCAGCGGCACCGAGGGCAGCCATGATGGGGGCGTCCTTAGATTTCAATATGTGGGCTGTTGTCGCTATACTTCAAGAGCGAATGCTGCTAAAGCTGCCCGACTGATTGCCATGGCGGTTGAAGGGGAGGTGGGCGGCACACGAAACCCAAGCTGTGCTTCCTGGTCAAGACCACCGGCCCAAAGCACGATCCAGCTTGAAAGGCAGTATCGCGTCCATGAGCTTGTGGAGTTGGACTTCACAAGCATGCGACATCATCTTTCTAGAGGTGTCGAGCCAGGTCTGAGTCTTGTCAGAAACATGTCAAGCTTCATATGAAGCTCGAGAAGTCGTACTGACAGGGAAGCGGCCCAAGCAGCTGCAGAACCGGAGATAAGATCTCTTCACTAGTGGCATCATTCCACTGATGCCCCGCTTTCATTCATACTGCAAGTACACCTACGCCTATACCGTCTCCAGCTGTTACTGCTTGCACCGGAAGATGGCCGTCGTAAATTGCAGAGTCTTGTGGTGCGAGTAGCATGTTTCGCTGCGCACACCGCACTGCAGGGAAAATCATAATCACAAACGGCATCAGCCACGCCTAAGGCGCACCTGTGTCTAAATCCCAACCGCGCCAGCCCAGTTGTCCGAACAACTCCAAAGCTCGCAACACCCCACTGCAGTTGCTGCAGAGCACCGCAAAGCTCAGTAAACCTCCACATGGTAGCCTGAGTCACGCAGATCCCGCACACAGCGGCCGAGGCTAACAACATCTGATCTTCTGCTTCAGAAGCGAAAGCAACGAACCTTAAGCGGCTAGGCGGCGCTTGTCCTTCTTCATCTTCTTCAAGAACTCGGTGTAGACCATGCCCTCTGCCTCCACCTTCTCCTGCGGCCACATGATGCCACATGCATACGGGAGCCGTGCCGTGACAATGGCAAAGCTTCACAAGGCACTAAACTCAGCAGACACTCTTCGAAGCGACTTTGCAAGAAGCTCCTGGAAACACTCCGCGAAGCCACTCTCCATGCCCTTGAGGCCGCACATGTAGACGTGCGTTTTGGGATCCTGTGACAGTGACGACTTGTGACGACTTGTGGACAAGTTCTGGAATGTGTTTCGTCTTTCGTACTACCTCAACTGCAGTGTCCTTGACCAACTGCCACAGATCCTCGCCGTACTCCATCATCTTGTGCTGCACCCACATCTCTCCGTTGATTTTGTTCTTCTCAGACTTCTCTTCGCTGGAAACTGCGTAGTCGTAGCGGAACTGGCCTGGGAACTCGGCCTGCATCTCCTTCCACTCTTCGTCATAGAGCAAGGACTCGCTGAAGGGAACTCCCAAGAACAGCCACGCACAGCCCTTGAACTTGCCCTTCGAGACCTTGTCGTGGAAGAGGTTGCGCAGGTGGGATCGGAATGGTGCGATACCGGTTCCGGTAGCCATGAAGATCATGTTCGCCTCGGGATCTTCCGGCAACAGCATCTCGGCTCCTGTTGGACCCGTGATAAGAACGTCATCTCCCGCTTCCAAATCGCAGATGTGGCTGGAGCAAACTCCGCGATAGACCTTCTCTGCGTCCGGGAACTCAGGATCCTTTCCCTTTTCGACGTTCGAGTACTCGCACCAGCCACGTCCGGCCACCTCCACAACGCGCTTCACCACCAAGGACACCGTCTTGCTGCTCTCGTCGTCGCCGGGCGCGGAGGAGGCGATGGAGTACAAGCGGATCTTTGCTGGGGTCTCGCCCTTCTTGTCCGGGCCCGGTGCAATGACGCCGATGGACTGGCCCTCGATGTAGGGCACCTTGCCGCCGTGGTCCATGATCACATGGCACGTCTCCCAGTTCACCAAAGGGGTCTTGCTGGTGATGGTCTCCTTGGACACGCAGCTGCCCTCGTACGGTGCCTTGGGGCTGAAGAGGTTCCAGGGGATCTCCTCACGAAGCTCGACACCGAGACTAAAGCCCCAAACTTGCAGGCGGATGCAGTCGCATGAAGCATACGATGGAACGATGGACACTGTACACTGAACTATGCGGCAGCACTCAAGTCGGTGACTGGTGACACCCTCCGGGTCCTTGCCCTCGACCACGCGGACACCCTTCTTCTTCACCTGGGCTCAAGGCGACAGCATGCCCTCACGTTGCTGACTCTTGCCCTGCTCCTGCCGGGATGCAGCAGTAGCGCGGCGGCGCAGCAAAGCTCCTCGTCCAAGGACCGCAGTGGCAACGGCCCCGGCGCCAACCGCCAACGTCCTTTGGAGAATCATGCAGCATGCACATCCCTGTTCGCCTCCTACTTCGCAACGACGAGCCCCGCGTGGCAGGGCTGACCGGAATTCCCGTCCTGCTCGCGCCACCAAAGGATTCCGATCCCGGAACGGTGGTTGCACCCCTGAGCGAAGACGTGCTTGGAGCACTCTGCGCCTAGCACATCTGGCACGCTGGATTGAAATCCGCACACGAAGCGGCCACCAGAAAATCTCATCAGGGCCTGCAAGGGCTTGGAGGCCACAAAGGCCTCGCTGCCTAGGCCGACCACAGCAGCGGCACCGAGGGCAGCCATGATGGGGGCGTCCTTAGATTTCAATATGTGGGCTGTTGTCGCTATACTTCAAGAGCGAATGCTGCTAAAGCTGCCCGACTGATTGCCATGGCGGTTGAAGGGGAGGTGGGCGGCACACGAAACCCAAGCTGTGCTTCCTGGTCAAGACCACCGGCCCAAAGCACGATCCAGCTTGAAAGGCAGTATCGCGTCCATGAGCTTGTGGAGTTGGACTTCACAAGCATGCGACATCATCTTTCTAGAGGTGTCGAGCCAGGTCTGAGTCTTGTCAGAAACATGTCAAGCTTCATATGAAGCTCGAGAAGTCGTACTGACAGGGAAGCGGCCCAAGCAGCTGCAGAACCGGAGATAAGATCTCTTCACTAGTGGCATCATTCCACTGATGCCCCGCTTTCATTCATACTGCAAGTACACCTATGCCTATACCGTCTCCAGCTGTTACTGCTTGCACCGGAAGATGGCCGTCGTAAATTGCAGAGTCTTGTGGTACGAGTAGCATGTTTCGCTGCGCACACCGCACTGCAGGGAAAATCATAATCACAAACGGCATCAGCCACGCCTAAGGCGCAACTGTGTCTAAATCCCACCCACACCAGCCCAGTTGTCCGAACAACTCCAAAGCTCGCAACGCCCCACTGCAGTTGCTGCAGAGCACCGCAAAGCTCAGTAAACCTCCACATGGTAGCCTGAGTCACGCAGATCCCGCACACAGCGGCCGAGGCTAACAACATCTGATCTTCTGCTTCAGAAGCGAAAGCAACGAACCTTAAGCGACTAGGCGGCGCTTGTCCTTCTTCATCTTCTTCAAGAACTCGGTGTAGACCATGCCCTCTGCCTCCACCTTCTCCTGCGGCCACATGATGCCACATGCATACGGGAGCCGTGCCGTGACAATGGCAAAGCTTCACAAGGCACTAAACTCAGCAGACACTCTTCGAAGCGACTTTGCAAGAAGCTCCTGGAAACACTCCGCGAAGCCACTCTCCATGCCCTTGAGGCCGCACATGTAGACGTGCGTTTTGGGATCCTGTGACAGTGACGACTTGTGACGACTTGTGGACAAGTTCTGGAATGTGTTTCGTCTTTCGCACTACCTCAACTGCAGTGTCCTTGACCAACTGCCACAGATCCTCGCCGTACTCCATCATCTTGTGCTGCACCCACATCTCTCCGTTGATTTTGTTCTTCTCAGACTTCTCTTCGCTGGAAACTGCGTAGTCGTAGCGGAACTGGCCTGGGAACTCGGCCTGCATCTCCTTCCACTCTTCGTCATAGAGCAAGGACTCGCTGAAGGGAACTCCCAAGAACAGCCACGCACAGCCCTTGAACTTGCCCTTCGAGACCTTGTCGTGGAAGAGGTTGCGCAGGTGGGATCGGAATGGTGCGATACCGGTTCCGGTAGCCATGAAGATCATGTTCGCCTCGGGATTTTCCGGCAACAGCATCTCGGCTCCCGTTGGACCCGTGATAAGAACGTCATCTCCCGCTTCCAAATCGCAGATGTGGCTGGAGCAAACTCCGCGATAGACCTTCTCTGCGTCCGGGAACTCAGGATCCTTTCCCTTTTCGACGTTCGAGTACTCGCACCAGCCACGTCCGGCCACCTCCACAACGCGCTTCACCACCAGGGACACCGTCTTGCTGCTCTCGTCGTCGCCGGGCGCGGAGGAGGCGATGGAGTACAAGCGGATCTTTGCTGGGGTCTCGCCCTTCTTGTCCGGGCCCGGTGCAATGACGCCGATGGACTGGCCCTCGATGTAGGGCACCTTGCCGCCGTGGTCCATGATCACATGGCACGTCTCCCAGTTCACCAAAGGGGTCTTGCTGGTGATGGTCTCCTTGGACACGCAGCTGCCCTCGTACGGTGCCTTGGGGCTGAAGAGGTTCCAGGGGATCTCCTCACGAAGCTCGACACCGAGACTAAAGCCCCAAACTTGCAGGCGGATGCAGTCGCATGAAGCATACGATGGAACGATGGACACTGTACACTGAACTATGCGGCAGCACTCAAGTCGGTGACTGGTGACACCCTCCCGGGTCCTTGCCCTCGACCACGCGGACACCCTTCTTCTTCACCTGGGCTCAAGGCGACAGCATGCCCTCTCGTTGCTGACTCTTGCCCTGCTCCTGCCGGGATGCAGCAGTAGCGCGGCGGCGCAGCAAAGCTCCTCGTCCAAGGACCGCAGTGGCAACGGCCCCGGCGCCAACCGCCAACGTCCTTTGGAGAATCATGCAGCATGCGCATCCCTGTTCGCCTCCTACTTCGCAACGACGAGCCCCGCGTGGCAGGGCTGACCGGAATTCCCGTCCTGCTCGCGCCACCAAAGGATTCCGATCCCGGAACGGTGGTTGCACCCCTGAGCGAAGACGTGCTTGGAGCACTCTGCGCCTAGCACATCTGGCACGCTGGATTGAAATCCGCACACGAAGCGGCCACCAGAAAATCTCATCAGGGCCTGCAAGGGCTTGGAGGCCACAAAGGCCTCGCTGCCTAGGCCGACCACAGCAGCGGCACCGAGGGCAGCCATGATGGGGGCGTCCTTAGATTTCAATATGTGGGCTGTTGTCGCTATACTTCAAGAGCGAATGCTGCTAAAGCTGCCCGACTGATTGCCATGGCGGTTGAAGGGGAGGTGGGCGGCACACGAAACCCAAGCTGTGCTTCCTGGTCAAGACCACCGGCCCAAAGCACGATCCAGCTTGAAAGGCAGTATCGCGTCCATGAGCTTGTGGAGTTGGACTTCACAAGCATGCGACATCATCTTTCTAGAGGTGTCGAGCCAGGTCTGAGTCTTGTCAGAAACATGTCAAGCTTCATATGAAGCTCGAGAAGTCGTACTGACAGGGAAGCGGCCCAAGCAGCTGCAGAACCGGAGATAAGATCTCTTCACTAGTGGCATCATTCCACTGATGCCCCGCTTTCATTCATACTGCAAGTACACCTATGCCTATACCGTCTCCAGCTGTTACTGCTTGCACCGGAAGATGGCCGTCGTAAATTGCAGAGTCTTGTGGTGCGAGTAGCATGTTTCGCTGCGCACACCGCACTGCAGGGAAAATCATAATCACAAACGGCATCAGCCACGCCTAAGGCGCACCTGTGTCTAAATCCCAACCGCGCCAGCCCAGTTGTCCGAACAACTCCAAAGCTCGCAAAGCCCCACTGCAGTTGCTGCAGAGCGCCGCGAAGCTCAGTAAACCTCCACATGGTAGCCTGAGTCACGGAGATCCCGCACACAGCGGCCGAGGCTAACAACATCTGATCTTCTGCTTCAGAAGCGAAAGCAACGAACCTTAAGCGGCTAGGCGGCGCTTGTCCTTCTTCATCTTCTTCAAGAACTCGGTGTAGACCATGCCCTCTGCCTCCACCTTCTCCTGCGGCCACATGATGCCACATGCATACGGGAGCCGTGCCGTGACAATGGCAAAGCTTCACAAGGCACTAAACTCAGCAGACACTCTTCGAAGCGACTTTGCAAGAAGCTCCTGGAAACACTCCGCGAAGCCACTCTCCATGCCCTTGAGGCCGCACATGTAGACGTGCGTTTTGGGATCCTGTGACAGTGACGCCTTGTCACGACTTGTGGACAAGTTCTGGAATGTGTTTCGTCTTTCGTACTACCTCAGCTGCAGTGTCCTTGACCAACTGCCACAGATCCTCGCCGTACTCCATCATCTTGTGCTGCACCCACATCTCTCCGTTGATTTTGTTCTTCTCAGACTTCTCTTCGCTGGAAACTGCGTAGTCGTAGCGGAACTGGCCTGGGAACTCGGCCTGCATCTCCTTCCACTCTTCGTCATAGAGCAAGGACTCGCTGAAGGGAACTCCCAAGAACAGCCACGCACAGCCCTTGAACTTGCCCTTCGAGACCTTGTCGTGGAAGAGGTTGCGCAGGTGGGATCGGAATGGTGCGATACCGGTTCCGGTGGCCATGAAGATCATGTTCGCCTCGGGGTCTTCCGGCAACAGCATCTCGGCTCCTGTTGGACCCGTGATAAGAACGTCATCTCCCGCTTCCAAATCGCAGATGTGGCTGGAGCAAACTCCGCGATAGACCTTCTCTGCGTCCGGGAACTCAGGATCCTTTCCCTTTTCGACGTTCGAGTACTCGCACCAGCCACGTCCGGCCACCTCCACAACGCGCTTCACCACCAGGGACACCGTCTTGCTGCTCTCGTCGTCGCCGGGCGCGGAGGAGGCGATGGAGTACAAGCGGATCTTTGCTGGGGTCTCGCCCTTCTTGTCCGGGCCCGGTGCAATGACGCCGATGGACTGGCCCTCGATGTAGGGCACCTTGCCGCCGTGGTCCATGATCACATGGCACGTCTCCCAGTTCACCAAAGGGGTCTTGCTGGTGATGGTCTCCTTGGACACGCAGCTGCCCTCGTACGGTGCCTTGGGGCTGAAGAGGTTCCAGGGGATCTCCTCACGAAGCTCGACACCGAGACTAAAGCCCCAAACTTGCAGGCGGATGCATGTCTTCAGTCCTATACCACCTCGAAGCTGCTACAATGCGAAACCCATCCATGTCCTTGCCCTCCACCACTCGCACACCTTTCTTCTTCACCTTAAGGAGTCCCATGCCCGCAAGAAGACGAATCTTCGCATATGAGCATGTGACATATGGCCAAGCCACAGCTGTGGCTCGACGACGCAGCAGCGCTCCACGCCCTACCATTGCAGCCGTAGCCACTGCCCCAGCGGCCAGGGTCCTGGACTACTCACTGTCAGACAAGCGACAACTGCAGCCAGCAGCGTGACCCTAACTTGTCCTGCTTGAACCTCCCCAGCTAGACGATGTCGACGCTGCGGCTGCAGCGCCGGCACCCCTCAAGGCTGGTGAGCTTTCAGCCTTTGACAGCAATAAGCAGTGACTTCTGGGGGGGTCCGGAATTATTTGAGGAATTTTTTTTGTTTTATTTGGGGAATTTTTTTTGTTTTTAGCTTTTGCTTGGGAAAGGGGGGGCAGGGAGGGAGGGAGGGAGGGAGGGGGGAGGGGAGGGAGGGAGGGAGGGAGGGGGGAGGGGGGGGGGGAGAGGAGGGGAGGGGAGAGGGGAGGGGAGAGAGGGAGGAGAGAGGGGAGAGAGGGAGAGGGGAGAGGGGAGAGGGGAGAGGGAGAGGGAAGAGGGGAAGAGGGAAGAAGAGGGAGAGGGAGAGGGAGGAGGGGAGGGAGAGGCAGAGGGAGAGGCGGCGAGGGCGAGGGCGAGGGAGAGGGAAAGAGGAAGAGGGAGAGCGAGAGAAAGGGACGAAATGGGGGGAAAGGAAAGCAGGGAGGAAGGGAAGAAGAAGGCAAGGGCGCCAAAAAAGAAGAAGGCAAAAACGCAAGCAAACGAACAAACAAGCAAGCAACCAAGAACTCGAGGAAACAAAGGGAAGAAATATATAAGGAAAGTCAATAAGCACAAAGCAGCAGCAACACAAGGAATAACGGCAAACAGAATAGATATGTAGATGTGCCTGTGTGTATGCGTGTATATACCTCTACTCCGGTCAGACACCTGAAAGGTGAGCCGGCACTTACAAGGAATAGCGGATTAAAAAAACAGATATGTATATGTGCATATGTGTATGCATCTATACTCCTCTACTCCCGTCAAGTACTTGAAATTCCAGTCAGATACCTGCAAGATGAGCCGGCGCGCACAAGGAATAGCGTCTTTTCGACAGATATGTATATGTGCATCCGCCTGGTTAGAAATGGTCTTTGAGATTGATCATGGTCAAAAAGAAATGAGTTTGCTTAATGCACCACTCAACAACGAGGTCATGGGGTAGCGGCTCCAGTTATTGCACTGCCAAGCAGCACCGCTGATGCTCATGATGTGCGTGTCTTGTCCGCCCCCAAACCTGGTGATGCTGGTCCTAAAACCCAAACCGCCTGGTCCGTCTCGTTCTCCCACAGCCGAAATCTTGAGCCAGTGAGTGTTTATGAGAGGGTCTAGTGAAGAGGGACATGCGATATGTGATAAGTGCGCACCTGTGCACAATCAAGTGTGACTCCAAGCCTATTGAAATCTTGCCGCACACGAAGCCATGGAAATCCACCCGGACGAGGTGCGGTTCAACCGCACAAAACATGTAATGCTCAAAAAAATCAACTTTTCCAACCCTTGCAACGCACGAAACACTGCTATGCTCAAAAAATTCCAAACTTTTAAGGACTCGGCCCCCGGCCTGGCCATAGATGCCAGAATTTTGGGATTTTTTTGAGCAGTACAGTGTTTCGTGAGTTTCAGGGCTGGAAATTTTGGAAGTTTTTTGAGCATCACAGTGTTTTCTGATGTCCAGGACAGGATATATTGCATCACAAGATAATTGTGTGCTTTCAACCGTTGTCAAGGACTGGAAGTAATCTTCTGGAACAACAACGGTTTTCATTGCTCTTGTTAGGTAAGTATGAAAAAGGCCTAGTCGTTGCATAGTTTATTTCATACATGTTTTCGTTGGTTGGTAGATCTATGGCACCAGCAGCACTGGCTCCAGTACCTGAGCTTTCTCGAAAATGGTTTTGGCCATTCTTCGGCAAGCTGCACCGCCTGCAGATCCATCACTGTAGCAGCGCAAGCCTATCTAGAACTTAATTCATTTCATGTTGAAGACTGTGGGAAACTGTTTGCATCTTGCTATCATCAGAAACAATGGAGACTTCCTATTCGGTTTCCTATGAGACATCCTCATACCTATCAAGCAAGAGACATGAAGATTCCTGCTAACCCAGAAGAGAATTCTACGATGTCACCTGTAGTTTTTGAAGACTGAAGAGAGCTCTTTTTCATGTTGTGATACGAACTATGACAGCGTTTAAACCACAGTCACATACAGAAGGACCGGTATCGCTTTGTCAGGATGTGAGGGAGGTGTAGAAACCGATACAAGTCTTATGCCTCTTGCCCGTTTAATAAAAGATACCAGTAAGCAAGCTTCTCTTTGTTTCTTGATCACATCTGGGGAGTGTCGCTTGAAGATTGAAGAGAGCTACTTTTTCCGCTACGTTCTATGACAGCAATTAGAGAAACAGCCATGGACATAGCGATCGGCATCTTCTGCGGGGTATAGGACAGCATCATTAATAAGAGTTAACCGAATGAAAACTCATGGCCCTCCATGAAGTGCCATTTTACTTTGTTTTACAAGGTTAAGGAGCCCCTGCCTTGTGATTGATACGTATCAATGCAGCCAGTCGTAATTAGTCCTGCTCCATGTTTGGAAGGTTGCAAGAGCTCTCTTACTTATTGCTGCAGACGAGCCTTCTTGTGCGCCCGCATATGCACATGAACTTTCCAACTCCAGGGGGGCTTTCCCATTTTTTATGAGGCAAAGAACAACTATTGGAGTACTGCTTCAAAAATAAATGCGCCCGTATATTCGACTTCCTCCGTGTATAACGGACAGGACATGAAAGGAGCTCTTTGTGTTTCGTAACTCATAAATCAAATGCTAGAGCTATGAGGCCGCATCAGAATCGGACGCTCACGAGCAGCGGGAAAGAGATGGCCCACGCACACAGACGTTCTCGTAAGAAAGACA